CTGTTCGCGAAATTCGACATTGTTATAATCATCAACATTTAGTAGATTCAATGATTATTAATTATTTGTGGGAGAGTGAACTCTTTAAATGAATTGAGCATCTGCTCCATAAGAGAGGAATTGAGCTGGCCTTTTATAAATATTTGATATCTTTACCTCTTCTCTGAAATAACGCCTTGCCTCTTTCCGCTACCACCGGGAGAACCCACATCACCATGAAGCATAGACAACCTGTCATAACATCATGACGCAACGCAACCTCACTCGCTTCCCTCTTCGGTACACTGGAGACCCCCCGGCTCACTTCAAGGCTGCCATAATGGTGCGTTTGCCGTAAGTTATCTAACACCGTCGTCCTCAAACTAGTCACTCCAACTTGACAAATTTAATGTACATCAGGGCTTCTGGAACATGAAGAAACACGCACCTTCGCTCCAACTTGTCACTGGTAAATTTCCAGAGTTCGACTTTTGTATATTGAAAACAACTCCTTGAAGGAGCGATATCTCCTTGAGAATAGTCACATTTTCAACCACCCAATGAGTACGCTACGTTCAAACGGCCTAGAAACGGCACGATATCATGCTGTGAGAATTTGAGAAGTGATTATTGTATTGTATTTGCGTTCGCTAACCTGAAACAGCAAGCATGGGTTAATGCTTTGTGCACATCGGCGTCTCGTTTGTAGATGGTGTTGGTTGAGGGATCGCAAATTGTAACCCCTGCGATTGAACCGGAGTGCATGTTATAACCTTGACTTTACACGGGTAGAGGGGATTACATGTTGTAACCCTGACAGCAAGACGAGGGTTGCGCCCTGTGATCCTGACAATGGGCAAGGGTACAAAATGTGACCGTTGAATCCATCGTTGAAAGAGTTAAAGGATGAATGGTCGGACCATATGGCCGATAACCAGGGTCGGCCGCGTTAGAAGCGACCTGTTGAGCCATAGGTCCTTTGTTCACAAGTCATCCAATAATTACGTATCTGTTATTGCAGAGACATTTTGCCTGGTTTGGTTTGGACACTTCTGGGTGGCTGTAGGTTTTTACGATTTTGGATGTGACAATGGTCCTTGGTCTAATACCTGGGAAGTATAAAGAAGGCACGACTGTCATGACCATTCCTTCACCCTGCAGCACGCACCGTTTCACAACTGCCTATCTAACCGCCAATCTCTTGATACAAACTTCATTACTTGCACAACTTATCCCATATATTAGGCTCCTTCTAAGCTGCCAAATATGAGTCTCTTGACGTCACCTGTTCTAATCCAGCTTTATAAAGAAATTCATGCACATGACATCGAGTACAAGTCCGACGCCTTTTGGACAGCCTATCTGGCCTTGCAGTTCCCGCAGGAACGTGGCTACACAGTATCCCCTCAGTGGGCTCCAACTGACGACAGCCGGGACAGATGTGATGCTGCCGTACGAGCGCTTCGTGGGCCTGAAGGGAATCAATTCTTCGCAACGTTGTTATTCCTTGAAACAAAGCGTCCGGGAAAAGGCCCCAAGGGGGCAGAGGAGCAGCTGATGTCAGCCGGAACGCAGTACCTTAACAAAGAGACCCAAGAGAGCTTCGTTTACGGTATGACGGCTTGGGGTAGTAAAGCACGTTGTTGGATGTTTCGAAGGGAGGGCGGCCGCTACCAACTGCTACCATTGTTTGGATCAGGTGAGCTTGGGAAAAAGAGAGAATACGTGGACGCTCACAGCGAGGCCGCCTATTTCATAACTGCGTCTATGTCTTACATCAGAGGAGAGAGCGTCGACTGGCCTGGATCTGTGTTTGAAAGCGTTGATCAAGAAGGCTCGGAAACTGCAGTGGGAGCATCGGGGGCTAGTTAGGCTGGGCGCCCGCACAATATCTCTTTTGTAGAAATCAAGGCTTATCGAGCCTTCGTACTCTGTCAAGATCAAGTCGCTCATTCAAGGCAACAGCAATCGTTATGCTGCTGCCTTGCAGACAACAGTATTACAACTAGTATTTATTTTCGTATCATTCCACTTTATATGTGGAAAATCAAGAGACTCTCCAGCGGGAGCCTGGCAGGCCGGGCCTATTAGTAAGCGAGACTAGCTGCGTCGAGCTCAGGAGCCCAGGGGGCTCCTCGAGCTCTCCTTTTTGTTCTTTTCCTCTTCACCCTTGGATACTCGTAGTGGTCGTCTAGCTAGTTGTCAATACATTCAGCTTGAACCGTTACACAGTCTATCAATGCGTGACAATTCCCAAGTAAGACATGTGAGTAACAATAAAAGTCGCTCATTCAAGACAACAGCAATCGTTATAGTGCCGCCCGCAGGAAACACCAACAGGCATTTGGTGTTCGTATGATTTTACTCTTCATCCCCCGACGCCGCCCGATAATTGACAGAGCTGAACAGAAGACTCTTGAGGGTCTGAGACCGGTGTTCCTGTTCCAAGGGGACACAATTATGAAGGAATGAGACAACAGATTCCATTAACCAGATATCATCATTTCACATATCCGTACTATGATATCGTTATTCTCGTTATATCATTTTAGGCGCCAAGACGCGGTCGCGTGTATAAATCCTACAGTGTAATCGAACGAACCTCAACATACATAAACACTGTACATAGTCATGTGCACAGGGACCAGACCCATATAATAGAGCTACGGCTAACCATAGGCCTGTTAGCTCCCGGACTTTAGGCGGGCCCCACCCAAGCAACCCAATATTAGTTAACTGAGGAGTATTTAAACTGTTCTTCCTCCTCGCACAATCTAACCTTTAGGTGGTTACCATGTTGAGTTGGCCCGTACCCTTGTCCAAGTTGGCTATACATTTACTTTGCTCTGATATATATCATTGCCTTTAGATGACTGAGCCGATTTGCATCACGTCCCAATGCGGACTATGTCAACTCGATGTTGCCTATGGTGAGGAAGTAGCGGTCTGTACGCTTTATCATTCCTGCTCTCGCCGAGAATCTCGCGTGTTGACTTCCCTTCTAGACAGTTTCAGAAATTGGAAGCGAATGATTGCTGAAAGCTTGTGTGATGGACTTGTTTGCGATCATGCTGACGGACTTGGAATCAGCTGCCATCCAGAGTGCCTTCGCATTGCTGAACTTGAGTGTTCGGAGCGACTGATGAAGGCGACCAGACATACCTTTCAAAGCACCGTGGGAGAGAAACATCGGCGCCGAAACTGGATGCTGGATTGCTTGAGCTCCAAGCTCCAGGCTGGCATTGCCATCCCAGACCGCAAAACCCATGTTGTGCGACTTCCGCCAGAGCTTTGTCGTCTAGTAGCCGAACAACTACTATCATATTATGCTACGACACTTGCTCGCAGTTTGTGGAAACCCCCTGAGCAATGTCGTATAACGCTTGACCGCACGATATGGTGCAATCTTATTCACTTTGAGGGTGGGGAGTACATCTCATCCCTGTCGAATTTTAAAAGCCAACAACACCCAGAACTTCTATTCCGTCCATCAACGAATATACCTGACCGTTTATATACACGAGAGAACCACCTCGGTCTTACAAAAGCACTTTTCTCTAATCCGGACCATTTGCCCGTATTCGGATGTATTCCCAATACGTGGTGGCGAACCTTCGACCTCTCAGAGAGGAATCTTACAATTCTTGGTGAATCGGATGTGAGTATAACCTTTTCAAGTTGCTTAGGCTCCACTAATAGCTTTTTAAGGGCATCAAACTCCGTGCCCTTACCGTTGTTGGCCAGAATCCGGTAGCATGGAGCGTGCCCCCAATAGAGGGAGTTCGATTTGCATATATCAACCTAAGATACAGAGGTGACGCCAGTCGCATGGTAGCATTCTCTTGTAACGATCCGCTGATAACTGGCTACTCCGTTCTATGGAACTATCAAATAGCTATGATCCATGCCCATAAAGACGGAGAGGACCTGTCTTTTTATCAATTGATGCCAAATGCACGTTGGCTATATATGCCAGTAGACCAAGGAGAGCTTATCACGGAAATTTACACGGGCTCTGGCTGGATAGGACGAGATAGCGCCATAGGAGTTAGTTTGACCACCTGCAAATCCCAATCTACAAGGAACTGACAATTGTTTAGATCAAAACTAACAAGGACCGCTGTTTTTTGGCGGGAATCTACTCAACAAGATCCTCAAGGCAATGGGCTCTTGTAGACCAGCCAGTTCAGACACGTAGCCGCATTTTCTACGGGACTGTTGACGGCCACATCAATATACTAGCTTTCGAAAATCAATTTCAGACGAAATTTGGCCAACATTTCCAGCAACCCACTTCTTCACCTCATTCTATAATCACGAATCAAGAAGATTACTTCTACAATTCATTAGACCTTACAGGTTTGGTAATAATTGCCCCTTGTAGAACGAAAGGCGACAAGGCCATAAGTGGCCTGTTATTGCATTTCGCAGATGGACATCGGGACAGTGTTGGTGAGGTTCGCCTGGACTCATTAGGCCAAACGCTGAATATCAGTGAGAAGGAGACTGTAGTTTTAGGTTTCAGGAGGCATGATGGCAGATATCCTTATGTTTCTGATATTGCAACATCGTCCTCAAAGTTTGAGTCAGGCTTCATCAGCGTAATTCGTCTATTTGCCGCCGGCAGGTTGGAGTGGTTTTGGTCTCACCGGCAGTGTTACGTGATATATGAGGGAGAAAGGAGTCTAGAAACTGCATGACCCGCACTTCTTAACTTTTCAAACTTTCTCTTTTACCGCATCAATATGAATATCTACTGAGGTTAGATGCCAATCATCCGCGTAAATCTGTACCCGCCAAGTAGTGGAAGTAGTCGCCGTGCACTACTTAGTCTCTTAAGTGGATTTACACTAAATAGTGAACGCAAGACGTATCCACCCATTCCTATGTAGCTGTCAAGAACCTCTGTTTCATCTTTTGCGCAATATTTGGCGGGCACTTGCTGTGCGGGTTCTGAGGAAGCAGCAGCCTATACTTACTACATCTGTCACGTTATGAGACTCATTGTTAACTAAGCTTCTTTTACAAAAGTTGTTGTTCTTTTTATTCTTGTTCCCCCTCCTAAACCCTAGAAACTGAAGATATTTAATTCTTTCGGAATACTGCTGGCTAGAGGCAGCAGTATGACGACTACTGTTGCCATTTGCCTCTCTGGTGGCAAAAAGCTTGCGTGTTTCAATCAACAGAGGCAGTGTTATCCGACAACATCACCTACGGCACATTACATTTATGTGTAAAAACTTGCCACTTATAAGTACAGTATTAATACTGTGGTGACATAATTGCCCATTCGCCTCAAATGATATGACTAAATCAGAACAGGCATTGTCAATTTCCCTGGGGAGAAGATTAAAGTATGAGATGACCACAATGCGTTACGTCGAGGCAAACACCGCTATTCCTGGCCCAAGATATACCATTAGGGAACTGCGGCGGAGAATCCCGCTAGCCTTGGCCCTTTTGTTGTCATGGATTATATCGAGCATGACAGGACAATGTCTGATGCATGGAAATACTGGTGCATATAATGAACTAAATGGGTGGATGCTAGATGCTTTCTAATAGGTCAAAGCCATACGAAATGAGATGTCGCGATCCAACAGTTAGTACCCTTATCCTGACGAGCCCGGGCAACGCAATGCTCCTTATATATTGTCCGTCTGGCACAGAAGATTCTCTGTATCTATTTTAACCCCTTACCCAACCAGACCCATTCGCACGCTCCAAGTCAGCGACGCTCGATGCTGCCCTTACAGAATGGGTGTCCTCTATCCTATTAGGTTTTGTTCTCCGGCACATTTCCTCTCGAGTCGTCCTCGGCGGCGGCACTGCCAACCGAGAATGGGCTCTCCTTGCTGGCATTTTCCATCCCAGGAAAACCCTCTTTGCTTATTGGCGGAAGATCAGTGGTTACATCGCTTACAGCCTCCTTCCACCAGTCTTGAAGATATCCCTCCAACACAATATGTAACTTTGTTCTCTTCGTTGTCTCCAAGGTTTACACATCCGGTTAGATCAGTATCGGTGAACCGGCACAGGTCATGTTCCGGCGTGCGAATGCAGCTCCTGCAAGTTGTATTCAAATCGGCTGTAATGGATGTGCTGCATGAATGCATTGCTGGGGCCATTCTTCGGCCTTTTGGTATGCATTGAGACGACCTTGAACAGCCTTTTGACCTAGCAGCCAACAAACACTTCGCTGACATGCCAATCACTACATGACTGTGATAGATCAAGCTCAAATATTCATGCACAATACATGCAAGCTCCGTCTCATCCGGCAAACGAGAGCCAATAACCGAAAAAGCAAGCTTCGGTCTACGCTGTGCAAATTGTATGGCCCGTACGTAGTTGGTGCTGGTTTAAGGATCACAAATTGTAACCCCCGTGGTTGACTAGGAATGCATGTAGTGACCTCAACCATAGGAGGGGATTGCACGTCGTAACCCTGACCGGGGGTTGCGCCTTGTGATCCCTGACAATAGGCAGGGGAGCACAAATTGTGACCCCGGCAAGTTGTAGACCTACAAAAGGGAGCTAGCTATATTGGTCCCGCCAGACCAAATTTCATGGCGGACTCTACATTTCCCCGAGGGTGGAGGGTAAATCTCGGCGTAATGACAATCTCCCCATGGAATATTGTGGGGTCTGTTTTCTTCAGGCGAGGAGGCAATACGCAGGATGAGGGATCGACGAATATTTTTCAGGCACCTAAAGAGTCTATACGAATCTTCATGGCCTCGACCACATTTTCTTTGGAGGTTGCAGAAAAGGCCCTCGAAGAGAATGGCTTCTTTGATCTAGAAGATCCGGCTATGGGAGAATATGTAGAGCAGATGGAGCGCAGAAGCTTCCCTTTCGTCTCAGAATATGGTTTAGACTTTTGTAAGGAACGAGTCCTCGACGATGAGGTAAGTACGCCGAGACTTTTATCATGGCAGCTATTTGACCCTTTCTAGCGTATTACCATCATTATCGAAACCGTCCTCGGGAGATGCGCGCTGGCGCACTGGCTGAGATACAAAGCATACCCCGGGCACATCGTTTGCTTTAGGGCAGGTGGTCCAAAAGCTGGTCGACGCTCGCTGCTGGTTCAACTATGGGCCAAAGGGTCACACGTGGAATACTACAGGGGCTCACACCTACACGATATGCCCAAAGAGGAGGGAGCTCGGTTGCTATGGGAGATCGAGCCGTCTACACTCGCTGAAGCAGGCTGTGTTGCCTTGTCGAAGGAGTTCCCAAACGGGGGCGTGTAAGTTGGCTCTTAGCCCAAATGAGGTCCGCACTGACATATATGTAGAGTCATTCTCGATGCCCGGGTTAATTACGAGATGAAGGAAGGGTACGCAATTACGTTCGAATTTGCGAAAGATGATATTATTACGAACTGGCCTAAACTGAGGATCCCGGCTAAGTTGGCGCAGAAGGTGGTCAAAATGCAGAGTAAAACCATCAGGGTGAATTATGAACTTGCTATATAATCGCGTGGATCATTACTTTTACATCTCTAAGCCTCAGTTTGTTGAATCCATGACAACCAGTTAATCTCGTTGTGAATCGGGGCATTGTACGCGGTCAAGTTCGGCATTGGCTCAAAGGCGGCTAGGTCCTCTGCTGATTCTGTCAGCTGTGTTATGGGCTGGCAAACTTTCAACGGCTCGTTAATGCTTTGAGCTGCTGCTAATAACGTGTCCGACGGCAGTGCGTTTCTGATACCATCCAGAGTGTTCGGTACGGATGACGCAATACCGTGGTCAACACCAGTGGTCGAAAGATCGACGTGAGACAATTTGACTAGTTTGCACGTCTCTGCGTAGTCGTCTGCCATTCCCCGTGCTCTCTTCTGGTTTTCCGCAAGCCGTAGCTCCTCGTCCACGCGCTCGATTATCACATCGCGTCGCTTTGTCGCATAGCTCGCTTGATGCATATCCATCTCTGAGACATCCGGTGTATGTCTCAAGAACTTGCTCGCAACTCTAAAGCGATAGGCACAACATTGGCACACTTCGTTGCATTCAACATCTGCGGGGTTTTCGTTACCATCTGCTTGTACTGGGGGACTAAGCGACAAATTTACGCGTTCGGAAGTGTATACGCAGTTCCTTCCGTTTCGAAAAGGGTTCGATTCGCTCGCACCCGCTGTAAGGGCAATGGCGCCCCCTACCAATTGCTGGATCTTCTTTGTCATTCGTAGTGCTTTCGAACTTCGGTATGTGGACGCTACATCTTCCGAGAGCAGCGGATATGCTCGCCTTTGACTTTTCAAGTGTGACTTTCAAAGACTAAACGGTGTCAGTTCTGTAGCTACAAGAAGTTGGAGGCTAACCTTCTGCTCTTCAATGTGAGCATCCAATTCATCGCTCGTTAAAAAGGTCGCAGAGCAAGCGCATTGAGGGTTTCCAGACATGTTTAATCTTTCGATGCGAGGCTTCGATACATGGCTGTGACGGCTAGAGGTGGGGTTTATAGCGGGCTTGATTTTTACACATGACCGCTCTCAGCCAATCATCGCCCGCACTGTCATGTGAGCTATAATTGGGGAATGTGCGGGTGACAAATGCTATTGGAGTTGCTATATATACCTCGGACATCCTTGAAAGTTGATGGTTGTCAACACATTAGCAACATTCGCCCACCCGACAGCTCTGCAGGCTGGACTCAGGATTTCCAACTATCTGCTTACTGAGTCATCCAGTATGGCCGAAGACTGCGAAACTTGTCCATATGTTAAGAAGGGAATGACTTGCCCTACTTGCGGCAATGTCAAGTAGGAGTCAGGGAAGCGGTAAGCTGACCTAGCATCACAACATGGCCCCGTTGTCTCATAAGAGTCTCTGTTTGCTAACTTACGGCGGAAAGACTGAACGCTGGCTCCGGGGAAACTTGTTGGAGAATTTTCATGAGGTCGAACAATCACTACTACATACGTGGCTTAAATTTAGCTCTTTCGAGCCGAGCGGCCTCATTTTACAGTCTGTACTTTTATCCAAAGACTTGGGCCTTCCAGATGGTGCAAATGGGGCATCGTTGTTTTAGCCGACGAGAGCCGAAGACTGACGACCTTCAGTTTATATGGACCAATCTCGCTGCTACGTTACAACTGCGGGCACCAGACAAAGCTTCCGGAATGGCACGGAAATATCAATTTATTGCAACCGTACATATATGATTGTTATAGTTCTTAAAAAACAAGCAAAAAAAAAATTCGCTGTCGCCACTGCCCCTACCACGTCGCTTTCCATCACTAAATTACACTAGGCGATATCGCTGGGAGGCGAAATCATTTGTAGATCATTTGCCAACAAGCCAAACGGGCAATCAGTCACTCTATTTCGCGAGACATATCAAATTTTTACCTCTCCCAACCCAATCCCTGCTATGGTATCATTAAATGCTTTGATGATTGGATCATACAAAATATTCGGATCCTGTGGAGTGCCAGTGAACAGACCATCTTTATGCGGGAATAGGACATCTCTTATTGCCCTGCACAAAGGCTTGACACTATCAAAATCTTCTGGAAATTCTCTCAGGATGACTTCTAGTCCGTTTTTGTCCATGTCCCCACGCTTGCTTTGCGCGATATCTTCGTAGGCTCCTGTATACCACCGCGAGAGCATGCTTTTTTTGGGCCGCCGGCCTGAGGCTCCTGATAATGCCCACCCTCGACGAGCGCAGAGCCATAAAAGAACGTAAAAGAATGCCTCGAGATCGTGGCGATACGTGTGCGAAATTCCTAGAAGAACTTCAATCGCCATAAATTCCATCGTGCCCGTCCGATGCCGGGCTCCACTAGGACCTTTACCTACTTCCTTAGCTAAGTCCAGATCGATGAGCATGCCTTTGAAGCCGTCTGCATTCCCCTGGTCGGTGATAATGATATTGTTTTCGGAAATGTCTCGGTGCAGAATTTTCCCTTCTGTGTAGAGTGATCGATGCACTTTGATGGCATCACGAAGGGCTTCAAGGAGCTCGCAAACTGCCTTGAACTGGCTAATGGATCGGCCCGCAGGAGAGATGGCCAATACGCGAAAGATGCGGTTGGCATAAGGTGCCTGATCTTGATTTTGCTGAACAAGACTAGTGCCCTGCGGTTCTTGGACGGGATAGGTTGCTAGGTTCTCTCTGTTTTGTGCCTCGGCCGGCTGGCTGTTCGACCGAGATCTCTTAGACACATTGCTTGACCAATCTGATGACTTCCTCTTTCTGTGTTCACTGCTGGCAACGCTGAGACCTGGAAACTGGCTGATTGAGTGGCTCGGCGGGGGTTGCGATTGCCGTATTGGCACTACGTGACACGCCACGAAACTTGTGCGGAGTCGAGAAGACGAGACCTTCACGCAGCCTGCTTATACTACTGACCTCTTCCTGATAGCCAACCACTTTCGCGAGACCCTTAACGCCACGTTCGTTCGCCTTGTTAAGAAGATCAGCCTCAGGTAGTCGCATATCAGAAGTCCAAGAGTATTTTACAACTTTGTCAAATTCTGCTGCGCCAGCGGCCTTCGCAAGGAAGCAAGACGTGCCACGACAGACAATTGCTCGCTGACGGGCGATTGGATTGGGGTCGAGTTCGAGTTGCCGTTTCCGCTTCTTTCCGCAAGCTTCAACAGACATCGTGACAAATAGTTTGTTGTCTTTTGCGTTGGTAAAGGTGTCCAAGCCTAGCTCCTCGTCACTCATCATCAAATATGCACACAAGACACTGATGAATTTCTCAGGCTCCTTGTGGATGTCAAACGTAGCTCCGCTGTACGGCCCAGACCGGTCAAAGACCCATGTCTCCATCTCTGTCCCAGTCAGAGTGAAGGCGTGTACGAACAGTCGTGTAGGCTGGTGAGCGAACACCATTCGTATAGCACTGCCAACCTGAAGCCATAAGGTCTTGTTTTTATGGTCAGACTGCTTGAGCTCGCCGACGACCAACACGTGTCTCCAGTCGTGCGTCGCGTCTGCTGCCTTGTCTCTTCTCATTTTGACAAAAAGATCCAGTTGCCGTGACACGTCAGCCCCAACTTTATTGCGTCCGTCGCTCCTGAAGTACGCAGCTCGTTCGGTTGGCAAGAGCTCTTGTTGCAAATTGAGCAACCAGCCACATACCTCGTCCTCGGTGGCTGCGTCAGGTAATTGTGTCCACCTCTTATCATTGTCGTTATAGCGGCTCCTGACGCTCTGCCAGATTCGCTTGGCTCGCCTGTTCCATTTGTGTCCTTGAAAATATTTCTCGTGGAATCCCTCGACAGCACGGTGCGTACAGTGACGAATCTCTTCGAACACGCGAGGTTCAATTTTCCGTCGTGTCTGTTCCGAGCCTTGCTGCGAAGCGGATGAATGGGTAATCGGAGTTTCGAAGGATTGGGGAAGGCTCGGCGGTGGAGTCGAGTGAGAAATTGATCGGACGAGGGCGATGACGGCAGACCAGATGTCAACATCTATTGCCTGTTTGATCACAACCTGCGCTAATGGGCGAAAATTTTGGTACTCAAAGTCGCTTTTCTGTACACGTTGACGAACTGCCATGATGTCAGACCCAAGGGAATCCCTTCCCATCCTTGAGGCGAGTAGCGGGGATGCATCGGAAGCAGACAGGATAGAGAGCAGCTTCCCTATCGCTACCACGAATAAGCGCGGCCGTTCTGGGGTTCCTATGCTATCATCCGATTGAGGGTCTTCGCGGTGAGTGTTTCGTTCCGCCTCACGCAATGCCTCCCGAACGGTATAGAGCGAGTCGCCGAGAGAGTTTTGGTCGATGGTGTCACGCTCTTGTTCAGAAAGGTGAGCCATTCTGTAGGCTATTAGAGACGGCGGAACATCATTAGTAGGAAGTGAGTTTGATAAGACAGTCAGAGCATGTCATCCCATATGGGGGAGCTCCAGCATAAATGGCGACTCCAGCTCTGTTCAGCTGAGTAAGCAAACCATTTGATACTGCTGGCGACTGATGCATCGGCCACCCCCTTTTGGCACCCTCTGGTACGTACGTCATTTTGATCTCAACTTCAATATCGCCTAAAACACCGCACAAAATGCAGAGGTTAAAATTTTGAAAGGTAAGGAGAACTATTTTCTAAAATTGAATAGCTACCTTTGCACCTTCAATATTTCTATTTTTCAGACTTTGTGGTAAGGAAAGTCTTGGATGGTTTTGTACTTCGTGCGGGCCCCGAAGTAGCCACTTCCCTTTTGCAGCAGGTAGCTCAGCATATGCGATCGTGGGAAGTAATTAATTTTCGATCTCTTGGCCCATGGATGAATCACGAGTGCACAACGACCCGCCATCTGGCTTCCCCGTGTGTATTCTTCGTCCAGCGACTTCAGTCGCTCAGGGCCCCTAGTAGTAGTAGTAGTAGTAGTAAGTTTATTACGCCCGGAGAGTTTTCCCTATAGGGCCGCTACGCTAAATTATCAGAGCAATCCACGCTTCAAGTATCTTGCATTTCACTCAGCCTCTAATATGCCATTGTTCACCATCCTATTCTCAGCAACTGAAGCACGCTCCGCCAAGACTAAGGCTTTTAACAATTCAGCCCGAGCCATTGCTACATCACCGTTTGTTACTCCATCTCAAATCTTTTCGTCTCCATCGCCCACTATAGAGGCACAGGACGTGCTAGGTGGTTTCTAGGCTCAAGATAGCTTTATGTATATCGTCGCCATCCCATCACAACCTCACATGGCAGAAGACGTCCCCCATCCCCTGCGTGAAAAATTTTTACAGAAGAGAGTTGCTCTGACCTCCCCGCATGAAGCTGACGATATGCCCCGGGTATGCTTCGTATCTCACACATCTTGTGAAGGTTAACTTAACAATGGATCTGACACGCAGAACAACGTTAGATAGCTATCAAAAAGCTCACTGCCAAACCTACCTCATTCTGAAGTACGTGTGTGTTACAAAAATCCAAGCCGTACTCCGTTAAGAATGGGAAACGCCTTTGCTCCATATCTGGGATATGTTCACCTATTGAGTCGTCTTCCAAATCGACCAGACATGCCCCTCAATTTCAATGTTTGTCATATCGGGAAATCTATTTCTCTAACGACTTCACAGCTTTGTGCCGGGCTTGATTGAACAGGGGTCGCAAACTGCGATCCACGCCTCCTGAATAGGGGGATCACAACTGCGACCCATGCAAATGCAGGGGTTACATTCTGTCACCCCTGCCTGCAGGACAAAGCAAACATACTGGATGAATGAATGAATGTGCTTCTAAACGTTCGGATAATCATCGTGCTCTTTATTTGTATTAGATGTAAGCTACGCATACCATGGATCGGTCATATCCCTCCATGATGCAGATTGTTTGAATATATTTAGTCAAAAGAAAAAAAAATGGAGTTGCCACACTGTCATCGCGTAGCGTATAAGCTGTCATTAAAAGCTGCTGGAAAGAATTCAGTAGGCCAACACCTTTGCTCTTTTTAGCGCAACAATTGTATGCTCGGACGCTGGAGATGGTCTCAGCCATGCATGTATAAGCCATGCATTATTGTAGGTATGAATGAGGGCTTACAGGGACAGCTGCATGTGCACGCCAAAACGGGACATGCGTTGGCTCGCCGATACTAACATTACCAGATGTACTATATCTTGGAATGCGACAAGACGGCTGAGGGAACACTTCCTGGTCTTAAAAGACTACCACGCGAGCTTTTGGCTCTGTGTTCCTGATCAACGAGTACCAGATCGTTTATGCGTGGATGTAACGTCCATGGTGATGTGGCTTGCAGAGGAGTTGTTGGTTGCTCTTCACATTGCTGAGCCGGAGATTAAACCAAAGCCCTCCAGTTCTCCCGGTGGTAGCAGAAAGTGGCCAAGCGTTGTTGTCTCGGAAAACAGGTAAAATATTTAATATCTATAAAAAGCCAGCTCAGTTCCTCTCCGGTGGATGCTCAACTCCAAGTGTTTACTCTCCCACAAATAACTAATCTTTCTTGAATCTACCAAACGTTGATAACTATCGCAATGTCGAATTTCGTGAACAGAAGCTTTTCCTGGACACGGAAAGCGCAGAGCTCATCCGAGCCACTGCGTCTGATGGACATCATCAGACCTGACTCTTCTTTAATATGGTTCGCTCAATTCCTTTCTTGGGGACTGAACAGTTATGCCCCTCTGATGTGCGTCTTTGGGCTTGTGGCGTTTTTGAAAACCTATTATGACAAGCTGCAATCACTGATCGACCATTATTTCAGTAAGTAATTTGTATACATGTGCAACAACAAAGCAATCCTCTGACCTCACTTAGCTGTAACACTCCATGTCAAAGCTACAGACGAGTCGTTTGACATGCTTATGGCCTGGGTCTCGTCTCGTGAAGTTGACAATGCAGCAAGATCGATTATTGCTCGGGTAGGTGGAAAGTCCAGTGGGGGCGTCGAGAAAAGTGATAAGAAACCAATTTCCTTTTCACCATGGATTGGATCGTTTTCTTTTCCATTTAGGCGCAAAACCCTTTCATTCGAAATGCAAACTGTGGACAGGGGGTTGCACAAAGAGGACGTCATCGCCATCAGTTGCCCAGGTAGTTCGGTGCAAATTCTTAAAGATTTCATTGGAGAATGTCGACTCGAATACTTGCAGCGAATTGGAAGCAAGATAACTATGTTTGAAAACTCTGGCGACTACTGGAAGAGAATATCAACAAAGGAGAAACGGCCGCTTGCCACTGTCATTATCAGCGGTTCCCTAAAACAAGAATTAGTGGACGACTTGAAGAATTTTCTAAGCGAAGAGACACGTCAATGGTATATTCAGCGCAGCATTCCATATCGAAGGGGGTATCTGCTTCATGGTCCGCCTGGCACTGGAAAGTCAAGCCTCGGCTCGGCGGTGGCCGGGGAATTCAATCTCGACATATACATCATTAGTGCCCCAAGCGTGGATGACAAGACGCTGGAGGAGCTGTTCAATAGCCTTCCTGGGAGATGTGTTGTTTTGCTGGAGGATATCGATGCTATTGGGACGGATCGACAGGGTTCGGACAAAAAGGCAAAAAAGGCACTCTCGCTGTCAGGACTCTTAAACACCCTGGATGGTGTTGCATCTCAAGAAGGGCGGGTGTTGATCATGACTACGAATCATATTAAAAATTTGGACGAAGCGCTCATAAGACCGGGCCGTATTGACGTGAAGCTTGAAATTCCGTTGGCAGATTCAGATGTGACCAAAGACCTGTTCAGCTTCGTGCTCAAGCCCGATAAACGACATGACGCCATTGATGACGAGATAATTTTGGAACTGAGCAGGCTTGCAGGAGACTTTGCCAAGAAAGTCCCAGAGCTCAAATTCAGCACGGCGCAGATTATGTCTTTTCTCTTGAAGCATAAGAACTCGGCTGAAGACGCGTTGAAGGAAGCCAATAATTGGTTCGGAGTTGCACCAAGCGAGAAACAAGTCAAGGATGGAGAAGGAAAGTGTAAAGACTCTATAGAGTCTCCTCAACATGCGGAAGATGGCTTGTGGATGAAAAGTGGGAAGGAGAAACCCGCTGAGAACCGACTAAAGAGGACCAAGAAGTTTCCCGATTTAAAGCTCCTTATACCGTAAGGCCTCTCCATAACAGACGATCATTAATACTTTGCAGCTAACCAGGATGCAGCGTCTCTCCGCCTCCGTCTCTTTGTGCTTCCACGCCTCCCTTGAGTGCCGTCGGTGAGTCCGTTGTCCGTAGAACTTCCGCTGCGCCTGATGCTGGTGCTGGAACCGAGCCGGATCTAGTTGTCCAAGATCACTGCAGCAAGACCGGCTGCGATCATAATGCTCGAGTTTGGGACATTGACACAGAGTTCCCATTGGATCATGGCGATCGTAAGATGACTGCAGATGACCGCCGCGGTTTAGGCATTCAGGGCTGGAGGAAGGAGAAGCAATCTTATGATAAGGCCTCTACACCTGACATCGGAGATCGCTGGCTAGAGACTCAGCCACAGCACGGCAACAGAGCTTTCCACCCAGTCGGGGAGTTAAATAAGGCTATCATCGTCACCACCTCTATTGAACAGACTACCAGCCCCAGCACTGGGTCAATGGCGACCAGCAAGGTTCAGACCGATATCATAGCGATGCGTCCCACCACTCTTCATGATATTCCTTCCGCTCTACCGTCTCTCGATCTGGGCACTTCGGATCTTCTATTTGGATCTCACGATGAAGTTGGGGATGCTTCTGGGCAGATCAACGGGTCAGCACTTTTATTTGAACTGTTGACAGTACCTACAACCCGCCGGAATGAACATCTCGTCGGGGATTCTGACAAGAATAGAGAGCTGAATATCAGCAGCGCAATTAAGGACGTACAAAAGATTGTTCCTGTGGATATATTTCCAGGAATGAGCCTGGAATGGCGTATGCCCGATGCTGCTGATGGGTCGCAGGGCACCGGTCTCGCCATAAATCTAAACCCGAGCAGCTGTAACACCGCTGATGAAACTGGTTGGGTGAAGGTAGTCTCGAATGTTCATTCAATGGAGATTGAAGGCCTAGGGCAAGAAGCAGGTCGCCCGGTAGATGCGCCCGAAGCGTAAGACTGCCGCCAACACCGCGCGGATATGTGTATTTATTGTTTATGCCATCGACAGATAGTCATGATTGCCGTCAATCCACTCGTTAGCTTCAAACAGATCGGACAGTTTACCGCCCAAATCATGTCCTCCCTTTTGGAGCACAAGGGTTGTCCCAAACTCGCGGCACGAGGAGCCACGAATTGGACTGGGAAAGAGAGAGGAGAAAGCAAGGGAAATCCAGGAAGACGATCTCAAATTACTCGTGACAGAACCCTTGGGCGAGGGCTTATGGATGACAAATGCTGGGTACAAAAAGAGGGAGATTTGAAGAGGACCGACTTACAGTGAGTTGTACAGAGGCTAGTAGGCCTTTGGAGATGAAAATCGGCCCATCGATTTTTTCGGCACCACAAGCTGGCAAGAAAGTCCTGGGCTCACTCTCCCAAGCTTTCTCCTGACTGGCAACCTCCAAAAGCCACCCACGAGCCTCAAGCCAATGATTCTGTAAAAGTATCGAGCGCGATCAATTCGGACCGTGCTGATACGTCTGATTGAGTAATGGTGGAATGGGGACAGAAAACCTTCTCGGCTAAATGGACAAAGTATAGAGAATTGCGTTGACCAGAGTTGTCAGCAACGCGACGAACTATTAGATCGTGACATCTCATTCCAAATGACTTTGACCTGTTAGAAGGCTTCTAGCGTCCACACATTTAGCTGAATGTACGCACTAGTATTTCCCAGCATCTCGACAACATGGTCTGCGGAATGATTCATGCCGTGTGGCTGCTAAGCAAGAAACACAGGCGAAGATGATGTTGTCCATGGGTTACATAAACTCAACCCCTGGACTGCATGGTGACATGAGCGGAAGTTCGGAGGCATGACGAGGCTTTGGTAATACGCGAGGGATGCCATGCTGAGTTCGAATGGGTATATAAGAGGTTCCCCCCCCCTCCCCCCCCCCATGACGCTGCATAAAACTTTTTGACCTTAACTTTATCATTCCTCACAAATTCGCTGCCTTTGACTTGTAAGAGACGCGGACAGCCATAGCACTTCACGTGCTTCCACCCCTCAAATCTCATCAGCTTTCTAGGGCGGTACACCGACATGATGGCACAAACTGCGAGAGCTGGGTCCTTTCTTGATCGCCCGTGGCCTTTGGATGACGTGATATCGATCCCACGTTGGATGACGTGATATCGATCCCGTCCGATTCCGAGTCTGAAACAGATAGTGACGCCGAAGTGATGGTACAAGATGTCCCGCGTGTACACTTTGCACACGACCAGCATCCTGACGACTCACTTCCTTCTATCTCTGCGATTGTGGCGTCCATGCTTAACGTCGGACACGGTCCAACAGAAGACGTCAGTGAGCAATTGCAAACCCAACTTCAAGGTACTGCAATTGCAGACTCGAGCCTAGGGAGCTCAACCCAGGATTTTTGCTTAGCGGGGGAGCGAGAAAGTTCTGATTCATCAGCCTTAAACTCTCCGAGAGGTGTGATTTTCGTCTCAAGAGCCCTCGGTGGCCCGGGGATCGCCACTGACTCTGATGAGTTGGTGTCTCCGGCAATACAACAACATAATGATGGCGTAAACTCGGTATTGCCTACATCTGTACGAAGACCTGGTGTCGTCTCGCTGGCCTCCGAGCGTCGGTCAGTGCAGTCCGCATCTGTGTTGCCTCCAAGGGATGAAGCACTTCAAGAGGAGAATGTAGAACCTCCTTTTCAACCCTGTCTTGCATCCACGACCATCCCCGTCCAGCATTCTCAATCACAGAATTGCATTATCGTGTCGTCAAACCAGCGCAGCCAGATTCATAGCGTCAATGTTGACCACGGCCACATTAGTGGCATGGTTTCGCGGAGCGACGACGAATTGCATAGTGTGGCTCGACCCGCCTCGGTCCAAACAACACCGTCGGGATGCAGCCGCCCAGTCTCGCGTCGAGGAGGTTTGATGGAGGGTGTTCAGAAACACCAAACAGCAGATAATACTCTGCCCATGGATTCTCGCCTTAGCTCTTCGCCAACTGGTCAAGGATGGGATGAGGAGTGCCAGGCAAGCATCAGTGCCAACCACACAGTGAGCCAGCCCCAAGAAATGGAAAAGCGGTCGTCTAGTCGTCGTGGCTTCAGAAAAGCTTACAACCTTCGCCGTCTCCCGGTCAAACGACAACTCACCGCGGAACGAAAGGACGGCGGGTCTAACGAAAAGCTTGTGCCACAGCGCAAACGTCGCAAGCTTATCTGCCCTCGGCCTAAGAAGCTTGGCTCACAGCAAGGCTCGGGTCCAAGGCGAAACCGAAAAGCACGCTTCTTGAGGAAGAATACCTTTCCCGGACCCTGCTCCATCTCAGATGGACGTTGACCAATCCCAGGTGGTCAACGACGGGGATTACACTCTTGTTAAGGTTGTCAAAATATTTCAAGACGGGGATGGGAACTGCCGGACCCAGATTCGGCGCTTGGATAAATCTGAGCAGCATTTTCCGTGGGATTTCTGGCGAGAAGGGGAAATCAGGCTTAATCCAAACATGCCAGTACAGGGCTTTATCGCGGACAAAGCTCGTTGTTGGGCCTGGAATCTTGAAGTGTCCGTTTCTTCAGACTCTTCGAACTCTTCGGATTCTGAAAGTTCGGAGGATCCGGATAAGGGCAAAGGAAAGACCAAAGCAAGGACCAAAGCAAAGGGCAAGGACAAAAAATCAAGAGCCAAACGGAGAGGCAAGGGAAAGACAAAGAAAATGCCCAAGGAGAAGGCCGGATGAAACTGAATTCGTGGTTCAGACATGTTTCACTCTTTTACAGATCTCTATTGCTTGTTTACCTATGCTCGAACATTATTTCATCCTGATTGAACCAACAATATAAAACTCCGCTCATTTTGCAACACGTCCAAACTGTTCGTTTATGAACATGATTGTGATCCTCAAGGCATTCTACCTTGACACCAGCCATCTCTTTGGTGAAACAGAGACGCGCCGGCCATTTGTATTCTTTGAGTTCGTCAACTCCGAGTCTGCATTGTCCAAGAGCTAGTTTCCCACCTTTTTTGTATTGTATTATAAGCCCTCTGCATAAGTCTGTTCCAGAAACACGGTAAACCTTGATTATAGAGACATCTTCAAGTGAAGCCGACGAGATGCGTGGCTTTTCTAATGTCGGCTGGCTGGGAATGGACCATCTTGGGGCGGTTTTGTTGCGTAATTTGTTCTTTTTGTTCTTGGAAACAGCGCCGACGAAATCGATCGGAAGAGTGTCATTCTTTCTGTATATAAGTGTTTGGGGCCATCGGAGTGATACAAAATCTCGAGGCTCTTTTTCATAAGATCCGATGAGAACATCAACACCGGAGTCGAAACGAATCTGCTTGCTGTTAGATTCTGTAACAAATTTCACGCGGACATGTCGTTATCGTACCAACAAATGCTGTGGTTTAATAAAGTTTCCTGGCCGGTTCGGCAGCTTGGTGAACCCCAGCTCTTCTACTTGACCCTGTATAGGCACATAAATCCAAGCAACGACCTTTCGTCTTTCAAGTGGAAGACTCAAAAAAGTTCTGTAGGCGAACGGTTGGGCCATTGTGTGAACATGAACAGCATACGTGGAACCGAGGGAAACAAAAAAAGTCATCCCAGTACAGAGAGACAAGTCTACCGTGCCTAGATGCCACGCCTGAAGGTCGTCGCTTCGGGTGGTAATATCATGATCGACAATGCTGCTAAACAGAGGTGGGGGGCAAGGAGTGTCCCAAATATGGATTGGGCCTGTCACTCCCCGCAATCTGGCCATACCAAACTATGAGCCATTAGTGATATGCGTCTGACATTCTGCAGATGGACTAACTTGGAACTCCACGGACACCCCTTTGAACCGTTTTGCTACTTCGACAATGTAGCACATGTGGTTTGACCGACGGCTGTCTTCCGCTTTTTCCAGCCTTTCAATGCGTGCTAGGCCACGAAGATCAATTGACAAACGAACAACGGGCTCACCGGAGGTGTCTCCAACCAGAGGAGCGTCGCCACGGACCCAAGCTTTGATGTCAACAAGGGGAATCATTTGCCCCCGGTGGTCGCTGTTCTCCTGGAGCGCCCACATTTGACGACCAAGGTGCAAAACGCTGCAATACCATGAGTCATTGCACAAGTCCTGAATCATGAAGTAAATATCCCGGGGTAGCTTTTGTAGTTGCTTTTCTAAACCGCCGAACTCCCCAACAACGGTGTTGATATCCCCAGGTACGGCCTCCAAACCGCCCAAGTCCTCAACAATGGTGTCGATATCAGAGACATAGATATTACATTTGGGCTGAATGTTCAGATATGGGTAACCTTGCCAAAGATTCTTCCATGTTGCTGCCACCCATAGAAGGCAACACTTGTCTTGAATGCTGATTTTCGTCTTATGGCTGCAAAACCTCGACATTTGGCTCAGAAACAGGGCTATACAGCTCGCATGTATTGTGCTAGTCTCCTTTGACTGGCGACATCCTTTACAGTCAGGTATGCGACATAGTCTCTCATCGCCACAACTTGCACAATAACGGGACTCCGGGAAACTGAACACCCCATATTTGACGAGCTGCACCGGCCAAGACTGGCCCTCATTCGTCACTGAAATAGAAATTTACAATGTCAGCGAAGAATATTGGCCAACTTCAGATTTTGTTACTTACAGGTGTAGAACCGATCTCCTGCACAAAATAGAAAGCCACACAAGCCACAACGGGAGTGTACGCGAAGGTGCATGGTTGCAGGTCATCTCATGTCGGCCTTTGTTGTTTTCAAGCAAGTCCAGTCGTGACCCGTTTCTTGGAGTGATAGGGAGAAATTACTGGGTTTTATATGATCTCACAATGCTCTTTCCGTCCTTGTGGATTCCAATGTCTCGGAACTAAGATATCGCGGATCAGATCGGATGGGCCTTGCGACAACGAACCCATGGTCGTCATCCTTGTCACAATTCGACGATTGAGGCACACACAAGTAATGATTCGTATAGATGCTGTGCCAATTAAAGCCAGCGCAAACTTATGCATCATCATGAAAGTTTCTTTGCACCGTCATCTTCATATTTTATTATATTTGGTGTGATATACCCAATCTATTAATTTGTAAACACTGGAGTGTGCGCAGGGCGAGATGTGTTGAACATGAAACAGCATCACGTGCAGGGTCCAGCCTGCGCCTTCCATAAATAGCGTGCCTTGGCGGCATCTCTAGCTTAGAGAATCAACGCACTCCTTTCATCTGTGTTCCGCTGTGACGTTCAACAGGTTATGAGCCCTCGTCAATTCCACTGACATAACCGTTGATGTGCAATCATACAACAGCCTGACACTTTAACTAGTTGATCAGGCTGGCACAGCGGCTACTCATCAATCCCTCTATTTGCGATGGCATGATGCCCATGCCTGACGACAATTCAAACCTTCGAGCAAAGGGGCGGGCACAACACAGAGAGACGTTCAAATTTTGAGCGAACATTACCGACAACTTCGACACAAAGACCACGGGTATCATTCCAGATTCCAAAAACTCGAAACTGAAGCTTCCGCAAAGTTCCGACCAACGACCAATTTCCACTACGACTGAACAGCAGATTGGTCCGTAATTGAAGCGATGTGGCTACTTGACGGTTTTACAGCGCTATTTGGAATCGTGATGGCAGGAGATTGTGAATATATACACTGGTTTCCATGAAGAGAGGCCATAGTTCTTGAGGTAATTGTAGCTGAATAAGCGTTGTGCGGGCTCCAGCTGCAATATCTTTGCCAGCTTTCTCGGCTCTGCCGTTCTGTTCATGGGCATAAGGTGTTGTGTACTTGATTTTGACCTCTTCCTTGGTGCCCCATTCAGTTGTCTTATCTGATTTGAACTCGCCACCATTGTCGAAGACAAAGGCTTGAACTTGATGCCCGCCACTCATCTTCTCCACCTTCCCCTTCCATTCCTTTAGTTTTGGCAGTGCATGTTTCTTTCTGGTTAAGAACATGATCCATTGGAAGCCAGTATATCCATCAACGCCGTGGAGAGACCAACGGTATCCTCCATATCCAACTGGAGTGTGTTGTAGCAGATCCCAGTAGACATGACTTAGAAAGGCTGTTGGCTCAAACTTGGCCCTGCTAATAATAGCATCCGCTTTGCCGAGGTAGCATGCCTCGCAGTGAAATTCCCTAATAGATGATTCATTCAACTCAATCCCAGCTGCTTTGCAAGCTCGTTTAATTCTTTCTGCACCAGCATGCATGAGCCGGTGATGCATCAGGCCATAATCAACATTCTAGTCGTAGCTCGATTGGGAAGAACCGAAAAGTTGACGTGCGGTTTGGACTGTGGTCTGACATCAAGAACAGCTACTCCCTATTGCCATTCATACGAGCATAGCTTATGCCCTGAATCCTACTCCCGATTGCCATTCATACGAGCATACCTTATGCCCTGAATTTGCGAAAACCAGTTCTTTGGTTTGGCCATTAACAACCAGTCCATAGTTCTTTTCCAAGATGCTCGTCGCGATGATATTTGCAGTGCCAACCGCGCAGTATCCAACGTTGTGAAGGATAAGTGTTTTCCCATTCGCTGCAAGATGCACTATCCCAATCCCTTGACGACCGTAGGGAACGTTATTGTGCCCAATATAGCGACTGTCTTCATCGTGGAAGTCAATATGTGCAAACCACTTGAGGTCATTGAAGCAGTGTTCTGCAGCTCCTGAATCCAATACTACCGCATCAGAAGATAAGGCAGTCGCCATAATGGCAAGGTTCATCGGCTGGATGATATCTGGGTTACCGACTTGATTTGGACTTTTGCCTTTGCGTTTGCCTTTATGCCAAGACGGTCGTTTTTCTGGGTGTTGTGACCAGCAGTTATCATTCGTGTGTGTCATGTTAGTATGAATGTAACACTGGTCTGACCCTTTGGCTCCTGCTGGCATAGGTGGTAGCTGATTGGCTGTTTGGACGGACAAGTTGATACGGGTTCCGGCAGCTTCTTCGTCATCCGCCTTGGCGGAGAGAAACTGTAAGAAATCCTGTTTGGTTGGAAACTTGCCTCTATCGCAATCATGCTTCCAGTTGGTATACCATTCCGGATAGGAGTCTTTGATACCATTCATCAGGGTCATTACCAAGAACTTATCGTCCAAGCCTCCAGCTTTGATGATTGTATCCCAAGCCCACAGTGTCTTTGCAATGTACGCATTGAACGTGGTGAAATCCTTGCGTTTATAGTGTGGGAATCTCATCAAGAGATCAGCAAGAGATTCATCCGTAATCTTTGTAACAGACGTCTTCAGCAGATTCCATGTGGTCATGGCTGTAGCATTGTCTATATCCCAACCAGCTTGCTTGAGTTTCTGTTGCGTCCCCAACCAGCTTGCTTGAGTTTCTGTTGCGTCGTCTCGGTCATGTTGTTGATCATGAAAAATATTGCCTTGGAGTCGTTTTTGACCCAGTCAGTTGCATCATCCGCTGGTCGTATCACCTCTCCTTTAACATGACCCCAGAGACCCATTGATACCAGGGCAAGTTGGACCTTGGTTGACCACTCAGGCCAATTGGCCATGCCACGGAGCTTATCCGTAGTTGGCATTGAGATTTCGTAATTGGTGTTGTTTGACATGATTCGCAGGTGTTCATAGGTAGAACGATAGTAACATTGTTCTATCCCAACACAATGAATCTGGTCAGATGTGGTTAAGATAACCCATCTTCAGGTGGCCACGTGTCAACATCAATGATGTCAGTGGAAATCAGAAAAGGGTTGAAGCCGTCAAACACTAGATTGTATCAGTAGTGTTACTAGTGTATATATTCACAATCT